GGTGCTCTTCGGGTACAGTGAATTTCCCACAGAGGCCTTCATCTTCAAGTTCGGGCACGATTATTTTGCCTTTATGGGGTTGTACAAGCAGACGATCCCTGTGCAGTTTGATGGCAGCAGGAATAATTTTGTTGATATATTCCCTGCACCTTCCATCAGTGAGGACCTCTGCTTCTTCACATTTGGCCTTTTTACCATCAAAATCAATGACCTCCTGACCAGCTTTCGTACAGTACTTCGATTTGTCCTCCAAGTCCTTCGTGAACGCCTCAATGCGTATCAGTTTCCACTCTTTGTCGTTCTTCTTCTGTGTGGCGACGGTGTACGCCTGCACACCACTCTGTCCCTTGCGGGGCAACTCCCGCACAACACCAGTCGACTGCACGCCGCCGTCCTTCTGCGCAACACACACACTGGCGCAGCACAGAAACAACAGCAGGAGAAGCATCGGCATCACGTACAGTGACTGGCACACTGTGGCGGGTGTGCGGACACTCAATTTGTTAGCTTGCTGTGGCATATAATGAATGCTTTCTACAGTAGAGAAAGAAACAAGAAGCAAAGAAGGGAAGAGAGAGAAAAAAGAGTGAGGAGCGCAGTACAGAGCAGGGCAAGAGCAGACCCGCAGAACGACTGGGTAGAAATGTGTCTTTTGTGGGTTTTGATTGGTTGGAATGGCTGATGTTGGTGTGTACTTAACATCTCACGAGCGTATTACACTGATGTATATTTGTGTCATAGTTGATTGGTGTTATTTATATTATGAACACCTAGTGCGACCCTTTGTTTCTTGTATAGATGGGAGTAAGTGTAGTGTTTACATGAAGCAGAAGGGTCTAGTTCTTTCTGATAAATGGTTTGACAACCAGAGTGTATAGTAGCAGAATAGAGTCAATGACGTGCGGGGGATCAATAAGAATACACTTATCTTCTCAAGATATCTTATCTCACCATTACAGTAACTGTACAATGTGTAGGAAATACACTGCAGTGGTTCCTGTTTCTTGTGTTTGTCATATTCGGTAGTATCTCTTCAAAGAGGATTTACTACAACAATAAATCTTTTAATCCACAGCATCCATGACTCAATTGGCTACACTTAAAACGGGAGAAAGAGAAAAAAAACACACACCACATGCCCTAACATTGAAAAAGAACTTCAAGGAGTCACTCGTATCTCAATAAATAATAATAATAATAAAATAACTCGTGTGAGTACCAAACCACATGGAATCGTTAGAATGAGGAACCCACTATGCAACGAAAAGTATTGATATAAATATAAATGCATTTCTCAATAGATGTAATAAAGTGGTAAAAATAAAAAGAAGACTTCTCTGTTTGCAAATCGATACCCAAAAAAACATGCAGAGTTCCTTTTTTATATTACAATGGTGATAAAGTGTTTACAACTGAAAGAACTAGAGAGGAAAATAGCCACTGCGATAACAGAGGGCCAGTGTAAGATGCATAAAAACGAAGTGAAAAAAAAGAAAGAATATCATTTCTTCTTTTTCTTCATTCATTCATTCATTCATTTATTCATCCTCAAAATCATCCGAGTAGGTGGCCACAGAAGAAATATAAGAAGTGGAATAAGATCTATCATAAGAGGAAGTTTTCGTTTTTGAAGATAATAAGGTTGAATGAGAACTCGTCCTGTATGAACTGTTACTACTCCTGTTTTCAGTACTGGATGGAGAACTTATTACATCATGAGATCGTATGGATTTCCTTTTATAATCCACAGGTGTGAAGGGAGGTTTTTTATACGGCACCGGTGGTTCTTCATAGGCTCGTATGATTTCCACACGTGATGGCTTAGAGGATTCACTACGACGCTTTACAGAATGATCTTCACTTGCCAAATAATGAAATTCCTGTTCATCCCAAGTTTTTTTTAAAATCTCCACTTGACGTTTAAGTGAATATAAGTGAAGGGCCATTTCAGTCTTATCGTTCACAGTATTATCTAACTCTATAGGGTGTATCTTTTCAAGGAGTTGTTGATTTAGATCATCTACAGCAACTACCTTCAGCGCAGTACCTTGTAATTTGGTGTATAAACGTTCCACTGTATCCGATAAAAGTTTTTCAAAAGTATTAGATTCTATGTTGTTGCTGCTGCTGCTGTGTATATTCACAATCTTATCATCCTCAAATTTATCATTTTCTTTATTTTCCTTATTATTATTATTATTATTATTATTATTATTATTATTATTATTATTATTATTATTATTATTATTATCATCATTATTATCGTCATTGTCAGTATCAACATCTACACCGCAAGTTCTATGATCATTTTCGAGAATATCATGTTTGGATTCTCTATTTTCCCTCGGGGAACGCACCAAAGGTGATTTATTTATTTCATCAGAGGATAAAGAAACTCTACCAATTTGAACAGGGGAATTCCTTACAGAACTTCTCATATCTTTATTAGAATTCCCTTTTAACAATTCAGATTCCTTTTCCTCATTATATATGGGTTGAAGTGGGATCATATTGGATCCTTCTTCTTCTCTATACTCTTCCTCTCTCTCCTGTACAGTGTTTGCCGGTATTGGTGGTGATATCATAGTAGAAACTTCATCCTGAGATGATTCCTTCTTTGTTTCTTCTATATTAACAAGTGCCATGTTTGTATGGGGGATTATATCTATTTTTTCCGCCGATGATGTATGGGAACCGCTAAGAAGGGAAGAAAACCATGAAGGGTTCATTCTTCGACGGTGATGTTTTTTTTCCAACGGTAAATCATAGGGACATCGCAGCTGTTGGCAGACCAACTGCAGTCGCAGAGGATTTACACTTGTCCACATCCCAACTTCCTCATTAGATGTGGTGTACATGACTCTTCTCTTGAATGCCTAATTGTTAACACGTACTTCTTTTTCTCATATATGTAAAGAAAAAACCTAAAGAGATAAAATAAAAAGAAGAAAAGAAAAAAAAATAAAAACACATATATATATATATATATATAAAAGAAATCATGTATGAAATTAAAAGAGAAAACGAAGAAAAAAAAGAATGTAGTAAAGAACGATACATATGTTCAATAATGAGAGAGAAATAAATAAATAGAAATAGAGAGAAAATTACAATCCTATCACCATATCATCACATAATGAAGAGTTCCCTTACTCTCTCATTGTTTTGTTTTTGTTTTTTCTTTCTTTCTTTCTCAGTCTTTCGTTTTCTCCTCCCATTCACCTTCCTTCTTTTCCATTCCTACACCTGTACCATCTTTTTTTTTCTTTTTTCTCACTTCTTCACCCTTTTCTACCCCTCCTCCCAATAAAGAGAAAGAAGAAGAAATTAAAAAAAAAGATATAAAGTCCAATCAGTGGAAAAACAGGGAACACGAAGATAAGATAAAAAGAAAAAGATATGCAATATGTGACGGATACTATACGAGGGGGCGTCCATGTAGAGATTCAATATATATATGAAGATCATCCCCCATTAAAGAAAAAGAAAAAAAACCAAACCATACAAACGCCAAAACACACGGATGAATTGATTCTTTTTTTTTTCTTTTTTGCTTTCTTTTTTTTTCATACCATATGTCTAGGTATGTGCAGAAATATTATATATATATAATATATATATATATATGTGTGTGTAATGTGAATCTTTTTTCTTTTTCTTTTTTCTTTATTATAATTGCGATAGATTTCTCGCTTCTAGAGATTCATCAGGCCACGGTAAACCACATCTTCCGGTCGACCAATCACGACAACCGTTTGTGTTTCTGCTGAACGTGAAGTGTCTGTTAACGTGACGGCTAAAGATTTAAATGTGTTGGAGGACGTCATAAACCCCGTCGTCTCTCGCCGCACATCACAGGTAACAAGACCCTCCCGTCCATTCACAGGATTTCGTAAAATAAACATCATTTGCATTTTTCGAGGTTTTAATCCCAATAAATCGGAAAGTTCATATGATCCACTGCGAATACGACGAACCAGTGGAAGTCGAAATCCACCGGTTTCACAATACGCCTTGAAATCGCCTGTGCGTGGATGAGAGCCAAGGTGTTGGATAACTCTTTCATTTCGCATTACAAGTGCAATGGATTGATTATAAACGGCATTTGGATTTATTTTAAACCGCCGCACAACGGCTAAGAGAACTGTATACAAAACAGCACTAGAGATAAACCCACTCATAAATCCCAATCGAGCCACAGTGGCCAAACTAAATCGTGATAGCATGGCATATCCTTTTAGAAATAATGTCACTACTACAAAAACGGCTAAAACAGCAGCACCGGTTTTTGCGTAAAAGACAACGGCATCTGCGGAGAAACCAAATATTGTGCCGGTGTAATGAACGGTTTGTTTATCAAATAACGTATCCTCCACCTTCACATGCTGGGCTTTGGGGCGAAGATAGGAAAAGATACCACGACGGCTCATATATATAACGGAGTCTTGTTGAAAAACAACAGTCGCACGACAGGATGGGGTACTACGAATCACTGAACGTGGCACAAGTGAATGAAGAGCGCGTTTCATCATTTCCCTAAATAAATAAATAAATAAATAAATAATAATAATAATATTATCTTTATTTCCTTTTACCCTCTCTCTCTAACACACTCACTCACTCACTCACACTCACAAGGGGACTAAGAGAGAGATAGAAAAGAGAGAGAGAGAGAGAGCAATATACTTCTACTGCTGCTTCACCTGTATTTTTTTTCTTCTTCACTACTACCCACCCCGCTATGTGTTCTGTTGCGGTAACTGCAGGCTAAAGAGAAATAATATGAATAAGAAAGAATAAAGAAAAAGAAAGAAAGAAAGAAAGATATACACATTACAGCATGGATGAATCCCTCTCTATACACGTCTACAGATATGAGAAAAATAACAGAGAATTCCATTTACAAGGAAGAACAAAACGCACATATACACACATATATATGCATATATATAAGTATATAAATAAATATATATTTATTTCCTTCTTACAAGAAGAAAGGAAATAACAGCAAAACATAAGAAGAAGAAGGAGAAAAAATCATTCTTTTCTTTTTTGTTTTCTCATTTATTGTCCTTGTTTATATGGGTTGCAACGCAATGTAAATACAACAAAACTATTACATTGAGAAATTGTTCAACAACTTTTCTCGCAAAATCACACCTTTCACCACCACTTTTTCTTTACTTTTTTTTGTATTCTGCAGAATTTCTCTTCTTTTTCTTTTTCTTCTCGTTGTTCGTCTACAGGCCACCTTTTTTCTTTTATTCATCACTCACTCTCTCTCTCTCTCTCTCTCTCTTTTTTTTTTTTTTCCATGTACACTTCTCGCAGAAACAGATCGACACCTCTCCTCTCCACACGGGTATAATGACAAGCTCACATATATATGATGGAAAACAACACAAAGAGGATATACATATGTATATATATATATAAGCAGTAAGCAAAAACAACATCAGTAAAAAAAAAAGCAAAAAAGCACAGTTGATATTCGAAGCGTTCTCTTTTTCTTTCTTTCTCTCTCTCTCTAACGAACACACGAGCATACACAGGTATACAGAGAAAAAAAAAAGAAACAATACACAGATAGAAGAAGAAGAAGAAGAAGAAAAACGTATAGAACGTTTTCTTTTCTTTTTCTATACTTTTTCGTAATTTTAAACCTTAAGCCCCAAAACGACAGCGACAATAATTAAAATGAGGATAATACCCACCAACACTACACAGCAACAAAGTTTCTTTCTACTACGTTTTTGATATTTACGAGCCTTTTTAAGTTCTTTACGACCAGTTTCCACATAACGAGTTGCATTCTCGATATTCTTTAAAATAACATCCATAATTTCTCCTTGCTCATGTACAAGAAAAGCCAAATCATTAAAAAGTTGATTTAAAGATCGCATAGATTGTTCAATACGGTAAATATCATTTCTCGTTTCAATAATTTGAGCTAAAACATCTTTACTTTGTTGAAAAATAGCACTTGTAGCGTTATTTTCAAGTACTTCCAAGGCAAGTTCTTTTGCCGTATCATCATCAATAGCAGATCCATCTGGGTTTGTGTATTTAATCTTTATTTGTCGTTCTGTTTGCTTGCGGTACCGGTTCTCTGCTAGAGTTTGTTGTTTCTGATATGTATCCATTGCCTCCGTGAGTTTCTGAAGTATAAACCGTCTTTGATTCTCCTGAATACGAACAACACCAATGAATTGACTTTCCTTTTCAGGATTTTCCTTTAATTTATCTGTTACCTTTTTCATTGTGTCTACTAATTGACTAGATGTCCGAGCCGCATCATTAACTTGATTTTCCAATTCCTCCACCTCCGCACGCATACTATTACACTTTAATGTATCTACTGTACTCATAATCTCTGAGTGGGTGGCGATGATATGACGTGTGAGGGTAGTGAGATTTTCTATAGACTTTCCCGCATCCTCTACGAGTTTATAGAAGTCATCCAACATCTGTGCTGCCTCCATATCCTGCTGTGATGGGGGTTCTGTGACGGAGACGAGAGTGGGATTATTATGTTGATTGAGTGGATCTCCACAACTAAAGTTGTTTGGACTGCTGCCAGGGGGCGGCACACCGCCGAGCAGCGGGAGACCAGAGGCCGCCTGAAACTGCGCCAGACGATCCATTCCTCCTCCTCCTCTTCGCTGTTATTTATAAAGTGATATATATATATATATATATATATATATATAGAAAGAGAAATAGAGAAATAGAGAAGAAATATGAATATGTTAATAGAGAAAACAAAAAATACAAAGTCAAAGAATAAACACATAAAACAAAAAACAAAAAAAAGAAAAAAAACAACAACAACAACAAAAACAAACAGTGACTTAAGGACAATACAGAAATAATAATAATAATAATAATAATAATAATAATAATAATAATAATAAGCAAAAGAAAAAAAAAGACATAATCAGTTCCATGTGGATATGATTTATCATCCCACACACCCCACAGTATAGTATTTACAAACGTAAAACTAGTCCACCCCCTTGTTTCCATTCATCACGAAGAGCCGTTTTCTCCAATGTGAGTTGTGTCTTCACATCCCGCAAGAGTGCCTCCCGCATTTCATCACAGCCGTGAAAACACAAAGGCACATGCATTGGTGAAGATTGTGTGTGAAATTGCTGCTCCGCCTCCTCTAGAGACCGCTGACTCTCCTCAAGAGATCCCGCCAGACGTAATAGTTTAGCCCGACGAAGAAGTACTTTAAATTGCATAGACTGCAACCACAGCCATTCTCTTCTGTGGGCATCGGAGTCTTCATGTGAGTCATTCCACCATTTACGTAAACGTTGTAATAAAGGTAATACTCGTCCACACCAGCGGGCAGCTCGAAGTTGTCGTTGCTGCAATTCTTTTCCCATAAATACTTTTTGGCGAGATTCATTATTATTATGAACGGTTGGTTTTGTTGTTGATATCATCATGAGAAGTGTTTGGGCTGCGTTGGCAGCAGCAATGATTAACTGTCGGTGAAGTGAATACCATACATGCATTAATACATGTGCATAGGGAAATACAACACGTCCACTTGCTAGTAAAGGATCCTCATATAAAGCATTTATCTCCTCCATTCCATCAATACTATTATTATTAGTACTACTATTAGTACTATTATTATTATTAGTATTATTATTATTATTAATACTGCTACTAGTAGTACTACTATTACGGCTAACACGACTATTCTGTAATCGCAGGAGAACATTTAAATGACGATTCCCTGGTGTGATATCATGAATGGTATCAACTCCACCTTCTTCTGAAAGTGGCATATATTCATCATCTATATCATCATTATCATTATCATTATTATTACTACTATTATGATTTGCCAGATCACTAGTAATACGATCTTCTAATGACGGCGGTGGTCGAAGTGCATGATTGTATGGATAGAGAAGTCCACGTTGTGCCAACAGCAGTGCACGTTGATAACAGTCCACCGCATCACAGAGTTGTGATAAGGGAGGTTGAAGGGATTCACCACCGGCGTCTCTCATCGCCTCTGCCGGCTTTAAATAAGAATTAAAAAGTATAGATGCCAGGCGATCTGCTGTATGTTCATCATGTAAACTTTGTCGAACTATTTCCATTCGTTTAAAAGTAAAAAGAAGTTGATATGTCTTTTCTGTATGAATACCTTTAAGAGTATCGAGTACCTTTTCAGATTTAAATAAAGATTTCATATCTTTTACAAATGGAATTAAAGTCATTGATTGTGGAAGACGGGCTGTAAACTGAAGTATATCAGGAGACATACAATGAAGAAGAAACTTCAACATCTGCGGTGTCCAATGTACATTTGCTATTTCCGCTTTTCCACTATTGGAAGATCTTTCAAGAAAAACAAAGGAATCACTCATACTAATACTACTACTACTACTATTATTATCCTTGGTAGGATCCCTACTCTGTGTTTCTGTTGACGCATTTACTTTACTGTGTGAGAGTAGTAATAACAACTGATGTGTGAAGAGACGAATGAGTCCACGTCGAAGGAGTGTTCGGCACTCTTTTGAGATTCGACCCCCAAGAGGGGCATAAAAGAAGAGAGATGGTCCAATCGCCCGCTCAACTAGAGTTGGGGGTTCACCAAATACCACATCACTATCACTATTATTATTATTATTATTATTATTATTATTATTATTATTATTATTATTTTCAGTTTCGGCTACAGAAGGGACTGCTGCGGGCTGCGGCCACATCATTGAGTTCTTACTGTTGTGAAGAACAAATTCAATGCTGTGCAGATCCTCAGAAATGAGTACATTTCCAACATCTTCACATGCCCCTAACAGTTGTATATTTATATCCATTTGGAGAAGAGACATCTTATCTACACCTCTTTTCTTTAGGAGGGTTTCTTCTCCTACTATAATGAGAGAGAGAGAGAGAGAAAAGAAAAAGAAAAAGGAGAAAAATAAATAAAAAAAAAAGAACCACTGGAAATAAACAGAGGAAATGACAAGAGAATCATTGAGTCTATAGAAAGACAAGAACAATAACAGCAACAACAAGAATAATAATAATAATAACAATAACAACAAAAATGACGGTATTATTGATCATATTTACGTATCTTTAGATACAATACCATTTCACTTTGGTGGAATCGTGTTATTTTTTTCTTCTAAATATCACCTACATGCATATTCGGTGGTCTCCTTCCATGTTTCTCGTTCTTTTATGTATTTATGTATTTATTTCATTTCCAAGTAAAAGAAATTGTATCCATACATGTATTTGTTCCTCTCTCTCTTTCTTTTCTCTTTCCCTTTTCTCCGCCTGTTAATATCATACACAGGAAATAAAGAGAAATCATAGTAAATAGTAAGAATACTACTACTACTAATAATAATAACAATAATAAAAACACACAAATATGTCTACTGTTTACTTTTAGGTTAAACTCCCCATATGAAGAGTAAAAAACCCAAACAGAAGAAAAGAAAAAACAACAAAAAAAAAAAACAACACACAATTACGAACTCTGAGAGGGGGATGATGGATACAGTTAGAGAAGAGAAGAGAAGAAAGCAAAGAAACGAACATTCAAGCAAACAACAACAACAACAACAAAAAAAAAAAAAACGAAAATAATGACCCAAGGGGTTGACTCTGAAAAGCAAATGAAAAAAGAAAGAAAGAAAGGCAATCAGACGAACATCATCAAAAAAAAAGAGACACCTTATGTATGTATGCATGTATGTATGTATGTATGTGTACTCATAAGAAAAAAACAACAACGACAAAAAGAAACGCAAACAGAGCAATACCAGTTGAACCGTAAAGTCAAATATATATAAAAAACACATTAGTAGCAAATAGAATTACAGTAAATAAATAAATAAAAAAACAATAATCAGAGAGTAGAATTACGAATGTATGTGTTTTGTATCGCTTTATTGTTTCAATATTGACATTTTTTTCCATAATTGTACACAGGCCCAAATGAGAAAACAAAAAAAGAATTACCACAAGAAATTATTCAAGGGTATTTTTTTTTCTCTTTCTTTTTTTACTTTTTTTTTTTTTTCGCTCCGTCTTGACGATCATTATTTAGAAATTGCTTTATGTATGTATGTATGTAATGGAAGTCCATATACCCATCTTTACCCCTCACTTTCTTTCTCTCTGTGTGTGAGAGAGAAAAATACATATAGATAGATAGATAGATCTAGAAAGATATATTATCAATAGACCATCACAAAACAGAGCAGCATCCATTATCACAGAGTTTAGAAGGACTACTATGTTTATTATTACGATTTAAACCATTCATCATATTTTCTGAAGATCCCGTGGTTTCTTCCACAAGACACCGCAATCGTTCCTTCTGCATAGCCACAATCCGTTGTAAAGTCTTATGAAGACCATACAAGGCTGCCATGTGATCTCGTTCCTCAAAGTCATCTGTTTCCCCGCATTGACCAAATCCTCCTATACTCTCAGCCATTGGAAATACAAAAGCCGGTCGGGCCGCATCTTCTTTCATCCCTACTTCTCCCATTGACGGTCCATCATAGTCGTGAGAAACCAACATTCCCTGTTCTCGCCGACGAATATCCTGTCGTAGTTGAAATTGCTGTCTCCATGCTGTGAAGAGAAGTCGAGTTAAATGATTGTGTTGATTCTCTTGAATACTGATTAAATTCCGGCGTGATGTGAGGAATGCGGCTCGAGTAACAGCCATAGACATTCGGTCCATATCGGATAATACACCGAAAAACTGCATTGTTCGTAAAGTCTCCAATGCAGATGTGAACTCCTCCTCGAACTCAAGGTATAATTCCTCTCTCGACATCTTCTCTGCATTTCGCATACTTTGTTGATCTTCCCGTTCTTCTTCTTCTTCTTTTCCTTCTTGTTGTTCTTGCATGCGTTTTGCCATTCCCCGTGAGATCTCGCGAAGACGGGCGGTCACTTCATTCGCGGAGTGAACGCGACGACGCACTTCCATAGCGCTAGCAATCAACTCCGCATATGGGTCTTTTGCCGCATTGTAATTATTACCAGAGAGAAGTGCCTGCCGCTCTGCTCTTTCCTCATCCACATCTTCAGAGGCGGAGACGTTAGAGTAATCCTCAGAGGATTCACTGCAGGAGTTAGTACTGCCGCTGGGTATTTGTTTGCCTAACATCATACCATCTTTATCTTTACCCTTCGGTGGGAGAAGTCGAGTGGTACAATCTATATCACGCGTCGATTCTTCCATTCTTTCGCACACGTATGCATGTAATAGTATATATATATACACTATATATATATATATATATATATATATATATATAATATTGGTGTTTACTATTGTAGCGAAATAAATAAAAGGGACACAGCAAAGTAAAAAAAAAAAAGAAATGAGGAAGAGAAGGAGAAAGAAAGAGGAAAAAAAAAAACAAGACACTATTATTACATTACAAGAAAACATGTAAATTAAACTGTCAATTTAAAAAAGAGAGTTCTTCTCCATTTATTTACAAAAATAAAAACAAGGGGTCACCTATTTTGATTGGTCACACTCTTTCTTTCTCTCTTTCTCTGTCTCCTTCCTCATCACCATCATCATTGTTGTTGTTGTTGTTGTTTTAACCGAAAAAGTTAGAGTAAGTGAGGCGAAGAGGACGAAAAAAGAAGCGATAGAATAGAATAAAAAAAAAAAAAAACCAAACAAAACAACAAGGCTAAACACACTGTTTTCTTTCCGATCATCTTGTATTTCTCTCTTTCTCTCTCTATCTATATCTCCCGGTTTGTGATTGATCGCCGCCACTCACTCTTCTCTTTTATTTTACTTTAAGAAGATACAAAAAAAATCTTCTTTACATTTTTCCCACCATTCTCTCTCTTTCTCTTTCAACATCCATAATCTCCTGCTACCACACAGAGAGACTTGCTCATTTCATTTATTCATTTTCTTCCTTATCCTCATCTTCTTCTTCTTCTTCTTCACTCTGCTGCTGCTGTTGTTGTTGTTGTTTATTTTTTTTTTCCCCCCCACCTTTCTTCGCCTAAAATTGATCCCCAATGTTTGCTGGTAGTTCTTCTATCTGCGTAGCATAAAACTGCTCAATATCACGCAGAAGCCGCAGTTCATCATGCTTGACAAAACTGATGGCCAATCCTTTACGGCCCATTCGTCCTGTACGGCCAATACGGTGAATATACTGTTCACGTGAAAAGGGCAAATCGTAATTCAGCACCAGCGAAACCTGTTCCACATCAATACCACGAGACCAGAGATCTGTTGAGATGAGAACACGACTTTTACCCTCACGGAAATTCCGCATAATCTCATCCCGCTCTGCTTGTGGCATATCTCCATGCATAGAACTGACTGAAAACTTTTCCTTTGTCATTTTCTTTGCCAACTGCTCTACCTTTTTACGCGTATTACAAAAAATCACTGCATGGGCAATCGTAAGAGTATCATAAAGATCACACAAGGTATCAAACTTATTCTTCTCCTCATCTACCGCTACAAAGTATTGCATAATAGAATCCACGGTAATTTCATCCCGCTTTACGAGAATACGCACCGGCTCCGTCATGAATTTCTCCGTCATATCCAACACATCGACTGGTAGAGTGGCGGAGACCAGAACAACCTGCAATGGTGGAATCATTCGATAGATATCATGTATTTGTGCTTTAAATCCTTTACCAAGCATTTCATCCGCTTCATCCAATACAAGTGTACGGAGATGATTAACCCGCAGATGTCGTCTTTTAATCATATCAAAAACTCGCCCTGGTGTGCCGGAGACAATATGAACACCACCTTCTAACCGCCGCACATCTTCATCCACACTTTTACCGCCAATAGACGCATAGGCGGCAATGCCCATGTGATGTCCAATATTATTACACAAGTCTTGTGTTTGTAGGGCGAGTTCACGTGTTGGGCTGAGCACAAGTCCCTGCGTTTCCCGCAGTGTTGGATCACACACCTGCAGTAAACAAATACAAAACGCAGAAGTCTTACCAGAACCAGAGGAGGCCTGCGCCACCAGATCACGTGATTGCACAAAAGGGGCAATAAAACGTTTCTGAATAGCTGTAGGTGTGGTGTAGCCATAGCCGTACATTCCTCGCAACAACTCCGGCTTTAGTCCCATCGCTTCAAATGTGGGGATTGCAGGGACATTCGCCTGCATGTCCGTTTCTTCCTTCTCCACCAGCCGCTCCACGTCTTCCATGGTTGTTGCTAATAGTACTTGTTACTATTTACTATTATTTACTATTTACCAGTATACGACTACTACCCTCTGATGCTCGGTGTGATTCTAAGGAGAAAGTGTGAAAAAAAAGGAAAATATAAAAGAAGAAAAAAAAAACTCAAAGAGGATATATAGGAGAAGGATAGTAGCGGTAACAATAATAATAGTTAAAAATGAAACGAGTGTATCTACTAAGAGATACCTCACAAAAATATCCTCCTCTTTCTTTCTTTCTCCCTTAAGAGTAAAAGCAATTATTGTACAGTGAACAACAACACACATACATACATACAAAGAAAGAAGGTGATTCACATGCATATATATATATATATTTATCTATCTAATAATGAAGGATCATCATCACCATCTCTTATTCTTTCATTTATGTATTTCGATGTGTTGCCTCACGGAGTTCTGCAATCACTACTGCACTACGCTTGCAAGCAGACTCCAGCATATTAACTTTAGCCTGTAGTGCCTCAATTGTAGCTTTGTGATCATCTGTCATGAGATTCCTTAGTAAATTCTCTTCTTCTCGACACTGCTCCTGTAGCATTCCACGCAGCATCTTTTCACGATCACGCTCACTCTCAGCAGCTGCAAGTTTACTGCGCATATCATCTAATGCTTGTGTCCATTCCTGTAATTCATGTAGAAATCCAGCCTTTTCATAGTCAAGTTGCTGTTCAAGAGATGAAATATGTTCACATGCTGCACGTTCTGCAGCAGCCCACATTTCCTCTTTCTCTTTTATATATTGCTGATGTTGTTGAAACTGAGAATCATGTAATTCTTGAAGTGTATTTAAACGAGTTGTAAGTACCGTCTTTTCCTCTTCAAGTGTACGTTTACAACCTTCAAGACTACGAATACAAACAGCATCACGTTCCACCTCTTTAGAAAGTGCCTGCTGTAATTCCTGCTGTTGCTTGACTTGATTTGTGAGTTGTTTTACCTCTGCACGTGTACGTTGTAGGGCCTCATCCAGTACAGAACAACGACGTTGGGATTCCGCAGCTGTGGCTTTAAATGAATCCCGTTCTGTTTTTATTTTTTTAATGGAAGTTGTGGTCTGTTGCCGTAATGTACGTTCACGCTCTACACAATTCCGCCATTCCACTTTAAGAGCCTCATGTTCTTTTTGAAGGACGAGAAAAGCCTCATGTTGATCTACACTAAGAGATACCATACCATGTACACCATCCTTAGCATTAGATGTATTTAGAGATGATGGTTGATGGTTTAATCGAAGTTGACTCCTCACACGACTAAGATTACGTTGTAGTTTATCTATTTTTAATTGTAAGGATGATTTTTCTGTTTGTGTGTTTTGTAATTCTTTGGTACATCGTCCCACTGTTCTAAATATCATTAATAACACACGTTCCAGATCGGAACATCTTTCTACCATTAAATCTAAACGACTACACGCCGCTTCTAAAAGTAACTCCTTCTCTGCTTGTTCAGATCGTACTTGTCCTTCTAATTGCATGACTCGACTGTTAGTAAATGTTATCTTTTCTCGCCATTCTTCCATAAGACGTTCTTGTTGTCGATGTTCCACCTGCATTCTCTTCGCAGATAATTCCGCCTCATGCGAGTATTTACGTTCAGTTTCTTCATATTTTTCACGCATGTGTTGTTTTTCAAGAATAACTTCCCTGGTGTACTGAGAGAGTCGAACGAATACAAGGTGAGTACTATTACAAGCATCTATGATAGCATGTCGTTGTTTTTCTTCTTCCTCTAATAACATACGACACATATCGGAATAGACATTATTTATAACTTTAGTCAATTCCGTTTGACGCCCACAAAGATCCGAGTACTTTGTATGGATATTAATAAAAGTATTAATAACATCCTCAGGGGTATGATCGAACTCCGATGGCATATGCAGAACCTCCCGTGCTTGATAGATGGCCTTACGAAAAGCGGTATTCTCTAATTGATGGGCTTCAATTAATGCCTGTTTCTCACGAACTTCAGTTTGTAAAGCGACAACAAGGAGTTTTAATGTTCGCCTTTCTGTTTCCCGTTCTTCTTCACCTGTACGCAACTCACTTAGTTGCTGTTTAAGATGTTTATTGTCTCTGTAGAGCTCAAAGATATCATCATCCTTTTGTCCAATCACCGTGTAGTAGTTCTTTACTACTGAACTAATATCGTCCATTCTCGTATACGCATGTGAAGACTCTAGAGACAAGAGATCTACTGAATCTTCAACTACGTAAGAAAGAAAGAAAGAAAAAGAAAGAAAATTATAGAAAGAAAGAAATAAATAACACCCATCAGAGACACATTCACTTATAAAAAAACGCATTATGAACGAAAAGAAAAATAAAAAAAGATAGAAAGAAAAAAAAAAGAAAGAATTCATCCCTTCCCAAAACACACACACACACACACACACACACACACAAACACCAAAAAAAAAGCACATATATTTTCAAGCAAAGACTGAGTTAATCCACTTTTCCATTAATTTATTTTGATTTTCCCTTCTTATTACTTTTTTTTTTTCACTTTATCTTGTTTTACTGAATACCAGTTGTTGTTTTCTTTTTTTTTTTGTTTTTTTTTTTTTTTTTTTTTTTTTTTTTTTTTGTTAAGATACGTAAGCACGTCGCAAAATGTGGTCCTCCGAAAATCCACAGACACAAATAGCAGATTTTTCATTTAATATCACGTGTCGCATTGTGAGTTTAGAGAGACAAGTCAAGTGGGATACAGTCAAAATGCCCAACGAATATGAAGAAGAAGAAGAAGATGATGATGGAGACGGTGAAGAAATAGATTCATCAGAAGGTAAACGCCCAATTAGTTGAGTATTGCCGTCTAGTGAAAGTCCCAGTATATTACCATCAGATAAAAGTAGAAATGAAACCATTGAAGTAGATTTGTTTTTATCACTTTCTACTCCTGATATATTTTGCGCAGAGCAGAGTGCCAAGATAACAACAGTATTTTTAAATTCCATTTTGTAAAGAAGTCGTCGTGTCCACGTAGGTGCATGTGAAAATAACTCCACTGCCAAGGAACTCCACAACACCACTGAATTCCCACCAAGCACTGGAGTAATACCACGATACTCCTTTACATCCGGAATATCAATATGATCATCCGTCGCTTGAAGATTAGAATGTAAAACTACTGCCTGATCACTTAATGAGTATACAGAAAAGCGACGTCCACGATGGGCAAATACCAAAAGATTGGTATCTTCTTCATCTCCTGGTTTCCACAGAGAAATAGCAACACTGTCGTTAACAAGCACACGCGATTGACCCATAGAATCTGTGCAGAGGATCGTACCAGAAGTCCATCGTTGCACGAGATACTGCAAACCTTCGACGAAGAATTGTTCGGCAATGACATCTTCATTAGTAGGAGAATTTAATGCAGGTGGAAAGAAACAACAAAAGCAACATGACTCAAGAGAATGGGTTTGATTTTTATTTGATGAGAGAACTATAGAACCACCACGTGGATTCTGCAACAGCCATTTTCGAGAAGTATCGCAACAGGGCTCCAATCTCCATTCTGAATCTCGTAGTTGAGAATCAGAACTGCAAGTATTAGTGGTTACTTGGAGCATTCTCTCGTGTAGTCCTTTAATAGAAACATAAGTATCACTGCGTATAGCATTAGTTGTAGAGTGAGTAAACCAAACAAGATGGGGTATTTTATGACCAACGGAATTACCATTTCTGGAAGTAACAGCAAGTAGACCATAATCACCAAGGATAAAGGAACTTAATAAAGCATTCCTTTTATTTTCATTTGTTTTTCCAGTAGAGACTTGTACAGCATCTTCATTTCCTCCAGTAGAGTTATTTTGAATATTTACGTCTGATGTAGCGGTTGACACATCAGGAGGAAAACGTGATGAACTCTTTCCCATGGCATCTTCTTGATTATTAGTATCTCTATACTTTTCTGAATCGCCTGATATCCAATTTTTTTTAATATCAGAACTTGCAAACGATTTTTGCATAGAAATTTCCTTTGGTAGTAATGTTTCAGCAGACAAAGCTCGTCTCTGAAAACTAGGTTTTCTCCTTCTATAAGGTGAAACTTGAAATGTTTCTTTAAATACATGATGTTGCATAGATGACAATGTTACTTCTGCCAAAAGTACCATTCGCCCATCGGAATCAAGAGTTCCACTAGTTCTCATCGGCATTTGATGATGAAAACACCAGTGACCATCCTCAATACGATATTCTTTACATTCTTCATCTCGTATCTCACATATCCCAACATAGAATTTCTGTCCATTTCGATGCTGTTCATGACAGGTAAGCACTATGCATGAAATATTATCATCTGTTTTAACAGAAACTCGTAAACGTAACTCCATATCACTTATTTGAGCAGGCATTTGAATACTTTTATCTTTTACATCAATATACTGTAGCTCCTCAATGGTAATAACTGGTGGTGCCAGAGTTAAAATAGGAACTTCCAAGGGTTGAATAACACAGTACTGTGTGCGGGGATGAGTGACAAGAAGAACATGATGAGAACTTGCCTTGGCAAGATGAAGTGAAATACGTGAAAATCGTACAATTTGTATACCAGTACCATTTCTTCTTCTACATTGGGCATAAGCAAGAGTATTGCTCTCATCAGATAATGATGCGTCACCGGATATATAGGTTAAAATAAATGGTATACTGTGTATACCATCCATACATCGTTTTTGCTGCTCTTTCCATAGCTTATCACTGTTATCTCCATCATCATGAAGAACAAGGGAACACTCAATTTCAAATTCAGAGTTAAGTGGAACCACAAGAACATCCATTCCATCTTTCATAGGATGTAGAGAATTGTCAACGCCTTCGTGTTTACCGGCATCCAAACGTCTTAGAGGTGACAATATCTCCAAATGGGCTACTACACTTCTCTGAGAACCACTTTTGTGATGAGATATATGATGATGAGGATGATGAAGATGATGATGATGATGGATTACACGATGTTTAGATTTAGAATCAGTGAAGAGATCAATTTTTTGGAGATACAGTTGCTGAAACAGCTTCTCGTTCTCTAGCAAGCATGCAAGAACACGTGCATGAGTGGTATGCAGGATAAACTTCTGTCGTTCTGCCTCCAAGGCCAATAAAACCGCCTTTTGCTCGCAAAGTATGTCCAAGAGGTCAAAACGAACTACTTTCAAAGCATTAGCATGTGACGCAAGGTCAGATAAAGGTTGTGTGAGTGCCATCGAAGGATTAAAAGGAAAAAAAAAAGAAACTCACACACACAGAGGGAGAGAGAGAGAGACTCACTCAGAATAAGTGAGGGTAATAGCAATACTAAAGTATGAGGGCTATTCCTGGGGCTTTGTATATAATAGTAGCCTGCTCTAAATCAACAACAACAACAACAAGAAAAAAAAAAAAACAATGCAAAAATCAGGAAAAAGGAAAAAAAAATAAAGTCAACAAGAAGAAAAAGAAGGTGAGAAAAACAAGAGAACAAACAAAAAAAAAAAAACGAAAATAAAATAACTTATTTTGTAAACAATTGAGAAAATATCAGAATTTTTTTTTTTCTTTCCCAATATTCTAATAGATTCCTCATTATTTTCGTTCTCCATTAGTCTACATATACAAAAAAAAAAATAAAAATAAAAACAAGCAAACTTCGAAGGATCAAAGGAAGAGTCGGAGAATCTACCTCATCCACAGAAATACCAAAATTTTTTTTTTTTGCCTGAGACTCCAATGAACAAGACACATAATTAGTGTATGTGTATAGAAGGGATAAAAAAAAAAAAAAAAAAAAGACACATAATTAGTGTATGTGTATAGAAGGGATAAAAAAAAAAAAAAAAAGAAGCACGGCAAATCACTCATACCTACGATTGAGAACAAAAAACAACAACAACAAAGAGATAAAATCAGTCATCATCCTCATCGACGTCGTTTCCCAGAGCGCGGACTGCCTCAATATCATCCAATCGTTCCTGAGCTTCTGGACTTAAACTGCTGTCTCCCTGCAAGGACGGGTTAGAGGCCCTAGAGATTCTCACCTGTTGTTGCTGTCCCTGCTGGTGGTGTAATTGATGATTGCTGCAGTGTGCGGTGGGAAGTCCCCGTGTGGGGAGGACCTGTCGCCGTGAAGGGGGATTACTGTGGGCGGGTTGGCCGCTGATGAGTCGTGCCTCAAACTGATCCAGCGCCTGAGAGGACGGCGTAAAGTCTTTCGCGTCGTCCTGCAGATATGTCTCCTGCAGCATGGGGTCCATGTCCGCCGTCAGTGTTTTTGGTGGCATCTAACGGAATAAATAAATATATATATCTCGATGTGATCCTCTGTGTGTGCGTGTGTTTTTTTTTTTTCTTTTCCCTTTTTTGTATTTTGCGGTTCAATCACCAGTTGTCTACGTTCTGCAGTCCTTCTATAGCTTGTACTCGTGTCACTCTAGAATGTGTGAGTATATTTTGAGGGGAGGGGAGTTATAGTATTACAAGAAGTATAGGGAAAGAAGTACAACAATGCAAAAAGAAAAAGGCATTGTAGATTGTAGAAGAGAAATCACAACCCACAGAAAAGAATAGTAGGAAAAGAGATCAAATAAGTAAAGAAAAAAAAATAGACTGACCAGTACACACACATAAAAAAAAAAACAAGTAATAAAGCCCCCGAACATATATTTATGTAATGTGTGAAGGAATCCCCGTCTAATACCTACCACGTACATTCTAATAACGATGGTGTATTAACAAAGACAACAGAAACACACACACACACACACACACAAAAAAAAAACAACAACAACAACGGAGGACGCAAAGAAGAAATAGGTACTCCATCATTAACCATCACAGCAGTGAGGTCTCATGAAGCAAACTCCCTGAAAACAAGAACAAATGCTATACTAAAACGTATCTCAACCCATCTTTTAGAATCCCATAGAGGGGTACAAATACCTGTTATCATTCAGAACGAGAAATACCTATAATCCTAATACAGTTGATAAGAAGAGTTTAGCGTCGAAGAATTTCATCAGAGGCCTGCAAGCGCAGCGGAAATCCATCCCAACATCAGTGATATACCGCCAATGGGAGTCAAAGGACCCATAACCTTGGGTAGCACACCAAGACACAAAGCGTAGATAGAGCCAGAAAAAAGCACAGTCCCAGTAAGCATTAGTTGAGATGCGCGGTTAAGATGTTTTGCTGCAGGGGTTTGGGGATCTTCACGATTTAAGAGAGCAATTACAGCAAGCTGCGCTGCTGAATGAATAAGATTGAACTGCACTGCACTTGTCCATGAAGATAGCTTCGCAGCGGTGAGGCGGTCACGAAGATAATGTACACCAAAAGCTCCAGCAACAACACCGATGAGACCAGACGAAGCAGCTGCAGTCAACAGAGGATTCTTTTCAGTCGGCATGGGGTTGATTATACAAGTATATAGGTATAATGTGATGAAATTCCTTCCTTTATAGGCAAAAGGAAAAACAAAAAAATCTGATGCTGTCATAGTTTAACTTGTTTCATTATCAGAGCCTAGCACCTGACTTTGTTCAGGGAGGACAAAAGCAACAAACCAATTTTACTTAAAGGAAGTAACATCCCAAACATCCATATATTAATCTTTCAACACATGTATTCTTTACGAATGCTCTCACCTTTTGCGAAATTTTAAAATAAAAAAGTGGTACAAATTAATTGTACCCCCGTATTGTACGAGAATCCAAGAACCGGTTATGTTTTTTTTTTCTTTTTTTTCTTCTGGGCAACACCTTGGGCTTTAAGCTCTGACGACCCAATCCTTCTCACCACGAGAGACCAAGGTGCCCTTGTAAGTGTTGTTGATGGAAACTACTACACAAAAAAGGACCTTGCCGTATCCGATATGGACTGTTGCACGACACAGTTCACCCAATACCAACAGAGGTTTAAAATTTGAAAGGAAAATGAGTAGCAGTAAAAAAGGGATTTCCATCTCACAGCTTCAACCCAACACCGCGAGAAACAAAAGAAAGAAAGATCTCCTCTAACCGCAAACATAAGTCAGCAAGAGCTGACACCCGTAAAGAACGCAATTGTGAAAATATTTTTGACTTAGTTTCTTAAGAAGACATCACTTTTAAAAAGTTATTGATTGCACTTGGTTTACTCTGAAAAAGCTCAGATACATAACCCTGGTACCACAGCCAAGTAACACTCATCACCAGGAGATATGATTTTTTTTTCCACCTTAAATCTCAAACAAGGCCATCGTGATTGCTGTATAATGCAAATTCCCACCCAAACCAACCATTAGTTCGTCCTTCGCGTTGCGGCGCTCCCAGTGAGAAAAGGATGTTTCTTTCTGACCTTCATCCTCCAGCTCCATTCCCTTGGCGTCGGGACACCCATAATGCTTTCTCACCATTTGTTGTACTAG